CTCTATAAACAAAAACAGAGGTGCACATCACCACAATTTTCACTTTTTGCTTCTCACACAATTTTCTGTTTCTCACACAACTTTTAAACACATGGAAAAATTAGAACCATTGCAGTGAAAATATGGGAATAGGGCATTCTTAAAAGCAAGCAAGCAAGCAAACACCTCACTTGCAAACTTTTGATGCAATTACAACACAAAGAACATGATACAGCTATTACTGAGCAGTGCTAGTGGCTGCATTAAGTCCCAAGGTGGAACACAGGGAACCTATGATCCTCCAGATGTTGCCAGACTCCCAACTCTCCTCACCTCCCAGGCTTAAGCAGCATGGCCAACGGTTAGCAATAATGGGAGTTGTAGTACATCGTCATCCAGGAGTACCACAGGTTCCACATCTCTACACTAAATATTGATTTAGCTTAACTGTGATTTGTTTGCAGTCCAGACCCATGCCACCCAAACTACTAACTGAAACGATTACTTGAAGAAGGGGGTTTGAGAGTCCTGGCTTGCTTTAGTCACTGCTTGCTGCTATATCTAATCCGAGTTCATTTTGGTATTCTGCTCCATATGATCTTTTGGCTACAGAGGTACGAGACAAGAGCACTTAGAATCCGAAATTGGTCACAAGGATAGGAGATTCTTGCTGGTGCTTACCAGACCTGCCCCTTCCCCTTCCTGGCAACAGACCCCATTCCCCACCTATCTAATGCTCCACAACAAACTTTCAAGAAGAAAAAAATGTAAAGGGGAAAACAGGTTATTATACGAATATTTATCCGGGAGAGCTGAACCACAACTTTGCTCTTACAACCCATCCCTATTTTTTAAAGGAAATTTCCCCACAACAGCTTGAAAAGATGTACACATGGGAGGCATGGCCACGAAGGAAAGAAGATGGCTGCTTAAACTCTAAGCTCTGCTCCAAGGCCCAGAAAAACAGCTTAAAGCAAAACAAACAAACCCTCAAAGCTTTAAGAAAGGAGAGGGTAACACAAAAAGATTCAGAAAAGGTGAAAACAAAAGACTTCACTCAATTCTTCCTCTTCTGAGACAGAAGGCTCACTTCAAGAATGCACTAATGCAGGCTACAGCCAAGATAGCACCACCCTCTTCCTTGCTGGAGAAAGAAAATGGTAACAATATCTTAAGAGAATAATTTCCAGCACAAGTAAAATAATAATAATAATAATAATAATAATAAAAATAGCCTGCCCATCATAAAGGAGCTTATTAAAAATACTTTAAAACTTAACCTGAGGCTTATCTCCATAACTTATAAAAACAGCCCAGTTATGGTGATGCGGGATCTGGCTTCCAAAACACTGGGGGGGGGGAATATCTATGTGCTTGCACAATTAAACTGCAAGAAGGTAAAGGTAGCCCTGACTGTTAGGTCCAGTTGCGGACGACTCTGGGGCTGCACTCTCATCTTGCTCTATAGGCCAAGGGAGCTGGCGTACAGCTTCCGGGTCATGTCGTCAGCATGACTAAGCTGCTTCTAGTGAACCAGAGCAGTGCCGTTTACCTTCCCGCCGGAGCGGTACTTATTTATCTACTTGCACTTGACGTGCTTTTGAACTGCTAGGTGGGCAGGAGCTGGCACTGAACAACAGGAGCTCACCCCATCACAGGGATTTGAACTGTCGACCTTCCGATCAGCAAGACCTAGGCTCTGTGGTTTAGACCACAGCGCCACCCGCGTCACTTTCTTTACCCTTCCCCATTTCCTTGACTCCCATCCACCCAGCCCACTCCTCCCAAGCCCCCTTCCTAACATCCCAACCCTTATCTCCCACTTCTGCACCCCATTCAGCTCTCCCCTACCCCCCCCCCGTCTTGCAAAGGAAGGATTTACATTTTTTCTATCCTTCAGGCCATACTATGCACCATATTAAACTACACCAACACCTTTAATTCTGAAATAAGGACATCTCCCAATGCGGAAATGTTCATTCTCCAGCCAAAACCAAACAAAGCTGTAATGTGAAGTGGGTGACAGCAGAGCCCAGATATCTTTAACTCTTACATTATGCTTTATAACCCCCCCCCCCTTGTTTTATATTACATGCAGAATGTTTAGAATATTTGTAAGCCTTTGACCAATTTCCCCCTGCCACGGTTAGCAGGATCAGAAGTCTTCCCAACCACCAGACCAAACATATCAGTTGGAAAAATGTGTTACTCTGACTAGAGGTCAGAGATTTGTTCATTATATATTATAATTTACTAATTGTTAGGAGCCCAAAAGGGAAAACTTTAACATGCCTCAAATAAAAAGGTAAAGGGAACCCTGACCGTTAGGTCTAGTCACGGACGACTCTAGGGTTGGGCCGCTCATCTCGCTTTACTGGCCGAGGGAGCCAGCGTACAGCTTCCGGGTCATGTGGCCAGCATGACTAAGCCGCTTTCTGGCGAACCAGAGCAGCACACAGAAACACTGTTTACCTTCCCGCTGGAGCGGTACCTATTTATCTACTTGCACTTTGACGTGCTTTTGAACTGCTAGGTTGGCAGGAGCAGGGACCCAGCAACAGGAGCTCACCCTGTTGCGGGGATTCAAACCGCCAATCTTCTGATTGGCAAGCCCTAAGCTCTGTGGTTTAACCCACAGCGCCACCTGCATTGTTGTGTATATGCATTATAATAATAATTTGTGGGCATGGCTTCATTAAAACCCACCTTTCATGAGTTTGGACTGAGAAAGGCAAAAATGAGAGTACCCACCATCTGTAGCTTCATCTACAGGCAATGAACCTTGACTTGACCATGCATACATGAACCCTGCTGTACAGTACACTAATAAATCTATAGTTAAGAACAGACTTGCCTATGTTCTATGTGATAATTTCATTGCAGGTGATGGTGGTGGTGCAAGTGTGCTTGAAGAGCAACCATGAGATGATGTTATACCTGCTGTGCTAAAAAAACAATTCTGAAACATTTACTAAGCTTGTCTAGTGGATGAAATGCAATCTAGTACATATGGTGCAATAGAGACAAGGGACTAGAGAATCAATAGTGAGGGAAACACTCTAGTAAGCGCATAAAGAAAACCATTTACTATCTGTTCTTGCTGCTACATTAAAGTATTTGCTCTATTGGTACACCAATACCATGCATTATTCTTTAAAACAGAGAGTACTTGAGTACTTACCACTAAAAAAGAAGCAGTTGCCTTAGCACACTGGCCATCACACCTTGGAAATCTGTCCTCTGATATAATTTGTCATCACAGAGGTGAGCATAGCCCCTGCCCCGCCCCCCTAGTAATAAGATTATTATGTATTTATTGGTGTCAAAATGATTGCTTCCCCCAAATAACTGCTCTAGTACACTTTCAGAAGGAAGCAAACACTGTTTTGAAAGTCCTGCGATAAACCACTACATTATATTTTTGCTTGGGTACCTTCCCACAAACTGTCTGAGTCACTATTTCAAAGCACAAACGCTTGAGATGCTAGTGGTAGTCCTTCTGTGCTACAGTGTTCCTGTGCTGTTTGTGCCATCCCCCAAAAGAGCAATGGCCAACAAGGAACTCCAAGCTGTCAACACTTGAGATAAAAATGGTTTGTGGAAACAGCAGAGAGGAGGAGGGTGCTGCATCATGTGAGATCCTGAAGGACAGCCATGGAAGCCGCGGCAAAATGCTGCATATGTCTGCTGAAGTAACATGGAAGCACATGGACGTTGTTGCTCATTGCTCTAATGTACAGAAACTCTTTATATGCTATACAGTGGCTGTTGAAAGGGCACAAATGGTGATGATCACCACCACCACAACAGAAGACCATGAAATTATATAAACTATGAATAGATGAGTCATCCTGAGAAGAGTCAGATTGGCTGCCAATACCTGATGTGGAGAAATAGGCAACCTTGAGTATGTCTTGTGCAATATTTAACAAGGTGGCAGAGATCAGTCCAATATTACAGACACAGGATTTTGTCTTATGCTGTGCTGCGGTTGGTGGGAATGCAGGACAGAGTCTTCATGGTTGCACACTCACTGTGGAATGCCCTTCCCTCAGAAGGCTTATCAGATTCCTTCTTTATTATCCTTTTGCCAAGTGGTAAGGTCCACCCTTTTCCTTCATGCCTTTGATATTGTTTGATCTTCTCCCATTGTATGGTTTTTAAGCTGCTTGGTTTTGTTGTCAATTCTGTTCATGCTTTCTCTGCTACATGGTTATTTTATTTAATCACTTTTTTTGCTGTTTCCTTTTATTGTTGTTTTTCTTTGTTGTATGCTGCTTTGAGCACCCTATTTTGAGTAAGAAACTAGCTCATAGATTGTTAATAAAATAATATCCTTTTAAAATAAGTATAAGTAGCACTGCCATTTCTAATGATGAAATGTTTTCCCCAAAGAGATTAAGGAATAATTTTCCACTACCAGTTGTGGTTATATAGAAACAGTCCACATGAGGTTTCTTCAATACTTACTTTTCAAAGAAAGATAATCTCATATTAGATTTTATCCAGTTCACCCACTGCTTTGTATGCATCTTTGATAATTTTGAATCCAAAATCCTTTTATTTACTTTCAAAAAGTGTGTATGGCTAATGTGCAAAAAGCACTAAAATGTTAAAGAAGTTTAGCTGGGAAAATCTTTAGGATGAAAAAAGTGACTTCCATCTTTTTTCTGATGTCAGCATTGTTTCAATGGAATGGGGAGTTTATGGGTGAGGGAAGCAGCAGTTATCAGAATATGTTTCTAAAAGGGCTTAAATGCAAGATACAAAAACCTGTTTAATGATAGCTGTTCTCATACTGGTATATTTTACTGAGTGGAACTTGAAGGCACTATTTAGAGGATTCATTTTCAGATTTCAAAGAGGCTTAAAATATCTGGTGGGAAATTACTTGAAAATGAACTAAATAAAAAAGTCTACCAAGGGCTTTAGGATTCTCTGATACAATGCTAAACAAATCAAGTTACAATACCTAACAATGTTGCCTAGATAGCAACAGCAGTGACTATAATTACGCAGACCTGTTTTTCAGACTGTATCCTGGCTGATTCTTCTTGAGCTAACACCATTTCACGCTCTGCAGTTATTTGCACACTCTCCCTGAGTGCCTCTTCTAGCTCCTCAATTCGATCATCCTTCTTATGCAGACTGTCCTGGAAAATGATAGGAGACCAGATAAAGTAGCTTGGATTTAAAAAGCCGGCAAGCCAAGTGCTACGTCAACCATAAGCTACTCTCCCGTGATGTAATTCCACAAGCACAAATCTTCGCATAGAGGAAGGGAGAAGTTGTAAGTGAAGGCAGAGCTGGAGAAGGTAAGCATCACAGTAAAGGAGAAAGAGAGCAAACCAAGAGATCAGTGCTAGAAGTGCCGTTTGTGTAAAGAGCAGCTAGAGCAGTTGACAGATTATGTGCAAAAGATGCAGATTCACATGCAGCTCCATAGCAGGTTAGTACGCAGATGTTGTGGTATAGCAGCAAGCATTCAGAATCTCTTCTCAGGCACGCGCAACCTGACAGGCAAGGCATAGAAAACTGGAAGGAGTGCAACTTGCAGTTAGTGATTTGCTTGGAGACAAGAGCTCCTTTTTTTCTATATGGAGAGTGATACAAAGCACCATCCGATTAAATCAACATGGCAAAGGGTCTATGTGAGATGGAAAGACGAAGGCCAGAGTGTCAAATAAGCAGTATTTGAAACATTAGGAACCGATTCTCTTCAGAATGAAATTTCTTACATATGTAAACCATGTTGTCATAGACCAAAATGCTACATCAGATGCTTATTTAATGTTTGAAACATCTAGTACAAAAACAAGAGATCTTTAGGCTATAGACTAGGAAATGTTTTTACACAAATATATGAATGTTGTCAGCTTCTGAAACTGTAACTCAGACACAAACATGAGTTGCCACTGCTTGCTTGTTATCCAAGGAGTGTTTTAGGTTCAACTAAATGACAGAACATTGTCTTTTTTCCAGTTTCACTCTACTTCAAGTATTGATCTCATCCACCATGAATGTATGATTATCAGGAAGGGTCTGCCAGGCTTCTCTGAAGTTCACAACTAGCATATCATATAGCAACTAATAAGCACTAAGAAATAAAGCGGCAGCAAGTTAGCATCCTCTAAGAATCCTCCCACGGTTTCTGATTTGTCATTTCAACTCTGAGGAATGGTGGTGCTGTCTGTCTGGAAAGAGGACTGGTTTGGCACCATTCACTTTGTTAATTGCTAAAAAGATTTAAATGGTCATGATATTTGCAAGATCTTGTATTTGTGAGGATGGTACACCTCAGCAAACTACTACAAGTTCTGCCAAATGCACACAGTTCTCTCAGACTCTTTCTGTACAGAGAGGTTCTTGACTTATGGGAGAAGAACACAAGCCTTGTGTTGTGATGAGAGGACAGGAAAATCTTGATGTTTGTACTAATACACACATATTGGAATAGAGAAAAAGGAGAAAGCAACATCATCTAACACAGGAAAAATTGTCCAGATGCTACTCAAGTGAACGTCTCAACAAGGAAGATGATCTTCATACACTGGCTACTCCAGCATCACGAACATTGTGCTTACTTTCTATATCTTCTGAAGCAGTGCTGATTAAACCCTTCTAATGTTGTTACAGGTGCTTAGAGTTAGAATTACCCTACCCAGTCTGCAACAGACAGTCCTCGAAAATTATAGTGTGCAGTTCTAATTGCAGCAGACATGGAAAATACTCATTAGGTTGTCTATGTTGTGTCAGAATCCAGACTGTCATATTCAGAATCTTCAGTGGTGTCTCCACTTCTACTCTATAGAAGAATGTGTGTCTGGTTAAAGCTGATCTGAGCAACTGCATAGAAGGAAGCATAGTATAATGGAGGTATAGCTGTGTTTTTCATCTGAGATAAGCAGCAAGCATTTGCAATTCAAGTACATGTAGTAAGTTTCCCTATTCAAAAGTATTAACTCTGTGGGACATTCAAATTCTACTGAAAATCCAGAAAATGATCAAGTAGTGCAACAATCAATTCCATCTTAATATTGTAATGTAATCAATATGGAAATGTAGCAATATATTTTGAATATTAATGTTACTCATATATTATCACTTAAATATCCAATGAATCTGAAAAAGCTAAGCAAATGCAGATAGTAAACAAAACAGATGTGTATAGCAAAACAAGCAGCTATTAATAAATCATCACCAAACAAAAGCCATTCCTGTGCCTTAGTTATAACTTGGTGATACATTATTTGTCCAGGATACGCCTTTTTGGAGGTGGGTGGGTGGGTAGAACATGAAATTTTCCCTAACTTCCAATTCCAAGACTGTTCCACACTGGCCTCTAACAAAGAGAAAGTTGTACAATGCATACCCATGATGCTGGAAGATGTTTTCTTAGTAACAAAGAGCACCTTGCTTAACAGAGCCTGAGAACGTGTCCCACTTTTTTTGCATCCTATTATTAAAAATGAAACCTATGATTATTCAATGGTAGTGGCAATGTCAGTGGAGGAAGCTCCCACATATTTTTTCATAGAATTCAGATGCAACTCTGGATGAAAGACTACTGATTTTAAAGTGCCAGATTCTATTCCTTGCAGCCAATAGACTATGTGGGAACAGAAGGAGTCAGTATGATCATTTTGTGAGCCCTAATTGGTATCTGGGTTTGGATTAAATATAAATGAAAATTAAAAGGCACATTATTAAGCACATTCAGAAGCTTGTTTTGTACTCAGAACCAGAGGGGGGCTAGTGGAGTTTGCCTCATATTTATGATAAGCATTATGAGCTACTGATTCATATTAGGTGACATCTCATTCTAAATGCTACTGTCTACGTACCTACTAGAAGCCATGAGAAGGAAAAAAGAGAGGGGATCAGTTTTTTATCTTCCTACATGAAGCAAACTCTCATGTATAAAGCTGTTATAAGAGAACTAAAGATGGACAATGTTATAAATCCATTTTAATTGGCTCATTTTTAGTCCAGGTAAATTGAGTTAATTGTTATTATTGCTGGTTTTATTCCTCCAATCCTCTTATTGTTCTTTCCAAATGTCAAGTTTCCATCATCAGAAACTCCTGTATAAATGAACACTTTGATATTTGACTAGGAAGAGACAAACCACATGCCTATTACAGACAGTGCAGTAAGAGCTTGGAAGCTTGTTTATTTGGCTGGATTGCAGATGGCTAGTTTAAGAAAATAGGGATCATATTTTTAAGCACTACATAATGAATTATTAATTCCAGCCAAAACCACAAAAGCCAAAATTATTTGAAATTGGTGCTTCTGTGTACTAACCCCAAAACCGGCAATGGTTGCTTACAGTATATCTATTTCTCCCTGTGCTTACTTTTTTATTTAACTAATTAGCTCCCAGGAGAATAAAGGAAAACTAGTTGTGTTGGATAAGCTTACTGGATTCTTGCTGGAGAAGAGTGGGGACAGAATTTTAATGAAAATATTCTGAGTGAGCAACTTTATTAGATCACCGTTGGAAGTGAACTTAGGCCTTATAAATCTCTTCCTCTAGGCCACCTTTCCCAAGGTCTAAGCTCTTGGACTAAAGACTGTGTGTCTTAAAGAGCCAACCCTGCAGACAAAAAATGGCTCACCTTTCTCTAGTGGCCTGCACCCTGCATCTTTTGGGAGGTGTGGTAGCAGCATACAGAGCACTTGATTCTCTTACAAGTCAGGCTCAGGGGAGGGTCCTGACTCAGGTTCTAGGCAACCAGCCTCAGGTTCCACGGATTCTGAGCCACTAGCCTTATGTTCTGTTGGCTCTGAAATAATAGCATCAGGAGGCTGCTCCAATTCCCCAGGTGGTGGTACAGAGCCAGAGACTAAGCTGGCTCCTTCACTGAGCTTGAGGGCATGACAAATATCCCCCTAGTCACTGTAATAAATATGATTTTATGATTAACTGCATCCTTACGGGATTCAGAGCAAGCTGATTTGATGTTTTCAAATTACATATCTATATATATCTACATGCCCATACTCACACACCCACACTAAACTACTGATATAATTAAACTGGACCTGCTACTAAATGGAGAAGAGACATGTCCAAAATAAGACCACCAAAGAGGACTTATTTCACCTTCAAGTGAATTGTTATGTATTTGAGAAAACTGACATTTGAATGCCATTACATACCTATATGTAAAGCATATGGCCATTATTAGATTAATGCTGAAATAGAGCAGGACATTTAAAGACACATCTCCACTTACTTTGCAAAGGCTTACAAGTAGGAACACTAAAACTGACCTATAAATTATGTCCCTTGAATTCTTCACTGTACCTACATTGGCAAGAGGCCCAACACTGGGAATTTGTATAAGCTATGGATGATGGATGCACAAGTCCTTGTATAATGAGCAGTTCGTCAGCCTTTCTTTTATCTTCTACCTGTTCAACATTAGCTTGCAACAGCTTCCCTAATGTTTATTTGAGGAGTTATTTGCACATGTACACGCCAGAGCCATGCCTCTTTCCCTTCTTGCCTCCCACAATCAGGCTCCAGATAGTATAGTGAATGTAGTCTGTACAGGACCTTTAGAAAGTGCACAGTCTCCCTTTCCCTGCACCCTCTTCTCCATGTATCTCTGTGGTGCAATGGATCAGTGTGACTGGTTAACCAGAAGGTTGCTGGTTTGAGCCCACCCAGAAATGACTGTGGGAAGGATTCCTGCACTGAAGGAGGTGGGACTACATGACCCTCGGTCCCTTCCACCTCTACAATTCTATGATTCCATGTGGATAGTCCACTTTGAAGTGAGAATCACTCTGTTGCTACAAAACACGTTTCGAATACATTTCACCTGCTAACCCCTCAGAGAACTTTGTTCAACTAAAGTATGTTCATCAGAACACAGCTTCCATTGCAAATTAACCTGGTATTGCAGATGACTGTCACAATATGCCTACTTTATGCTGTGAAATATTCCGTGAGGAGTCACTTATGACAACATGGCACTGTGTCAGTGGCTTTATAGATGGAGGGAAATATGCAGTGAATTGGTGTGAAATTGAAGAAAATGATCCGTGCCCAAATAAACAGAAACGTAATTCTGCAACTCCAAGGATACTTACTGATACATCTGTGCTTCTCAGGCTTTCTTCACTGAACAAAAGCTAAGTCCAAGTATCTCAAAACAATTAAGCAAGATCTTTAGAAGCACCGGAAGCCAGACTCTGTAACCAACTTGAAATCGATGGCGAGTTTATAATGTTGTCCCAGTAACTTATGGCTGAAGCAAAGTCCTATTTGCTCACTTACCATAAAAGGGATCAAACTGTTGAAGCTTAATAGGCCACACCCTTCCAGAATCTCAGAATGCTGTGAGGGTAAAGCTCCTCCTTTAATCACAAAGCAACTCCTTTATTAGGAATAAGTCTGAAAGCGAGGAAGCAACTGAGGCAGAAATTTCAAGGAAGATGGCCCTGTGTCAGACATACAGATTCACGTTACCTGCAATTGCTGGGAACTGTCATTAAGATTGTCTTCCCGCCGTCTAGCTTCTTCTAGCATCTGTGCACTCTTTTTCTTCTCCACTTGTTCTTTATGCTTCAGATTTGCTACCTTTTTATTCTGATCTTTAATTTGCCTGTAAAGGGGAATGCAAGTATTCAAATGCTTGTGCAAATCTACATTTGAAAGCAGAAGTTATAAAATGCAGGGTAGAACAATTCTTCTGTATTTTCAGCAATGGTGTAGATTTGGCAAAGTTATGCACTGCAGCAACCCATTTTCAGTTAAGTGACCAAAGTCGACAAACTCTTATGAAATGAAATACTTCTGCACACAATAAATTATACAATGGAGTTCTAGAATTGGCCCCAAGGCTGTGCTTGAGTTCAAAAACTGAATATGCACTATGGTGACTTTTTTTAAAGAAAAGATGAGAACATATTGAGATGAAGCCTACGGTGTTAAGTCCAGGGCCGTCTTAAGCATATCCGGCGCCATGGTGCGAAGATCCCTCCGGCAGCGCCCCCCCCCCGTTTCCCAGAGTTGTTGACCCAGTGGCATAGCAAAGTCAGGTGGTACCCAGTGTGGAAATTTTTTGTCAACACCCCCCCCCCCACATTGAAATTATTAAAGTAGGAAAAATAAGATACAGTTGCAAGTGTTATTTTCTGGTTTATTTACATTGTGAGCATAAGCACTTAAAACCCATTTTTCCTAACTTTGTTCTCTGCAAATTTTGAAATCACATCAACTCCCAGAGTTGGTGAAGCTAGAATAAAACCCAGCCACTCCTCCAGCTGGACTCCGTCCATGGAACCAGTGAATGTGTGTGCTGCCTTCTTCCATTTCAGGGGGGGTATGTGGGCTAGATGACCCTTGGGGTCCCTTCAGCCCCACAATTCTAGGATTCTCTGTTGCCACAGGCAGAAAAAATGTCTCAGGCCAAACAAAATGTGTGGGCACCAATCTGCATGGCTTCATAAGAAGACAGGACACATTCATGGAGGGGATGGTTACCAATGGTTACCAGCCAGGATGGCTCTGCTCTGTGATGCTTCTGAATGCCAGTTGCTGGGATCCGCAGGGAGGGAAAGGGCTGCTCCTGTGCTCAGATCCTGCTTGCAGGTTTCCCAAAAGGGGCACCTGGTTGGTCACTCTGAGAACAGGATGCTGGACTACATGGGCCACTGGCCTGATCCAGCAGCAAGTTCTTCTGGTGCATGTATGGTATTTGGGTTGCTATTTTCCCCTAGAAAGGCCTTAGCAGAGAAGGTGGTGATGGCCACAGAATACAAAACCCTGAACTGACCAGACGTATTCTGGCGTGGAGGGTAGCCAGACAAGAGAACTATTTGCCCACTCTGTGCACAGCAGTGACCCAATCATTTGTGGAACAACTGTATATCTGAAGAAATTGTTCTGTTTAAATTGTTTTTGAAGGATATTGTTATTGTTTGATTCTGTAAACCGCTTTGATTACTTTATATTATGAAGTGGCCTGCAAATCTTTTGTTGTTGATGATAGTAATAATACCACCACTAAATAAGCATGGTCAGATGTACATTTCAAGTTCAGTCCCTGCTGTCATTTTTTAAGGTGCATGGAAATAAATGCTTTAGTGCTGTTTTATACTTAGAAGTTGTCTCCAGAGCCTCAAGCTATTCTTCAACCCACAGAATTCATAGTGTTAAGGCAAAGAAGAATTCCTTGGTAGCGGGTAGTGCTGCGGGGTTTGCACATGCTCAGTGTCTCAAAGACATTTCACCTTGGCATTGTTATTCAGAATCTATTTTATATTATTGTTCCCACATGGGAGGTCCCAGGAATTGTGTTTAGTGGCCTTGACATCCTGCCTCTTGCGTAGGAATGTAAGAGGCTCCTCTTATGCGCTACACTCAGGCACTATGTGGCTCAACCACTGTGCAAAAGCTATCTGAATGGCTCCCACCCCCAAGATGAAGAATAAGCAAAACAGAACAGTAGCCTGCAATTTAACAAACTGCTGTTTTAAGATAAGAGAGGCTTTAAAGCTGTTAGCCAAAGAATGACTATTTAGTTATGTTGAATATTAGACATTTGGATACTCTTTGATTAGATAGTCTTTTGACCTTGTTTGCTCCAGCAGATGACCCAGAGAAGATTAGGCTATGCCTGCATCCCATCTGTTCTGCTAACAGTTAACCTAAGAGGCCTTTTTGACATTTAAGAGGCTGAGGAGCGTTCTCTTTGCAAGTATGCCATCTATGGAAGAAAAGTGGAGGTGTAATGTCAGATTTATATCACACTCTTTTTCCACCTAAAAAAGACTCCTATGTGGCCAGAGAATCAATGTATCCCAATGTTTATATTTCAATATATATGATCAAGATTAAGTAGCTTGCAATACACACTCTCAGGGAGAATGGCCACCTTTAGAGGTTAGGGAGCAGGTTACGACTCAAATTCTGACTCATTGTTATAAGAGCTATTGTTTGTACAGTCATACCTCATGTTACGGATGCTTCAGGTTACATGTTTTTGGATTGCGGACCGCAGGAAACCTGGAATTGCCGGAACAGGTTACTTCCGGGTTTTGCCGCTCGCGCATGCGCAGAAGCGTCAAATCACGCCGGCGCAGACACGGCACTTCAGGATGTGAATGCTGCAGGTTGTGGACGTGCCTCCATCACGGATTACTTCTGCAACCCGAGGTTCCACTGTACTATCATTTCAATAGTTCACTGTTCTATGGTTTTACTTCTTTACAAAATGTGTATCTATGTTAACTTGCAATACATTTTTATTTGCATTATTTTCCAGTTTAGACTTTTTAATGCACCACACCACTAACTAATTTATTGTAATAGTAAATTAACTGCTACAAATAAAATGTGCTTAAAGATTCCTTTCCACATATTGGACTTACTCTTGAATAGTTGTAAAGATCACAGGTGACACATGTGAGGTGCACATCACCTCACATTTCAGGGCATATGGGGCTACACACTAACTGCTACAGTGTCCATTTCTATTGTAACATGCGAAGCAGGGAAATAGTGGGGGAGCAAACTCAGCTGAGTGGCCTACAAAAGTTCTGTCCCTCAGAACAAGAAGCTTCTCTTCAGCTGATAAAAACTACCTGTGCAGTCCCTCTCAACATTAGTGCCAGGGCTAAATGGCATTTTGGAATCATTCCTGTATCTTTTGGGAAGAACAGACAACAGTGTCTAAAGTATTAATTGGATGCTTTTTATAAATACAATCTTTATGGTAAAAGAAATTAAAACAGGCATTTTTAAAGGCAACCCCCCTATAAAGTAAATAAGAAGCAGACCCATCCTGCGATGTCATTTAAAGAGAAGATGAATTCCTCTCATCATTTATGCCTCAGACACAATTCAACAGCTAAAAAAAACCATTATGCTTTTGAAAGGAGTTAATGTAGCACTGTTAAAACGAACGCTAGCAAGTTCAAACAGTCCATTAGGAGTTCTGTTTGCGAGCTTCTTGCCACAAGTCCTCGTCATTTTCTTACACTGCTCTTCACTTTTCCATGGCATTTATAAGACAAGGCAACCAATGCCAATGAAAACAGTGCTTGTTGCTAGAAGTCATGAAAATATAACTAGACTGTTGTATGTATGCCAGCAAGAAGCCCCAAATGGGTTTTCAGAGAGGGGTGGGTGGATTTTATATCCTGAAACCAGGAAACCCAGGTTTTAAAAACAAATTCCATGTACAGATAAGTATAGAGGAAGGGGAAGGGAAGTAGAATTGAAAATTGAGATGGGTGGATAGGAGAAGTCAACTTTGTACCTAACCATTAAAATAGGTCTCAAGAGAGTTCAAAGGTATAGGTAAGATCAAGAAGCAGATTAATTCTTGCCACTCTACCCAGTACTTATTTTCGCATTATTTCAATCTCATCAGTATTTTGCAAACGTCACAAAATTATATCATCTTCTAAACTTACTATACATCTTCATCTGAAAAGTTTGCTGGGGGATACCTAATCAGATCCTATACCTTCCCCAAGCACCTACTTTCTACAGTAATCAGGGATTTGCAACTCCCCACTTCCCCTTTTAATGATTCTAGAGGGGGTTACAATCTATCCTTTGGAAAATCCTGATTCTTAACTATTTTCCCAAAATTAGACAAATTGTTTCTGTCCCTTCCTCCATATTCTTTCCAAAAATGTACTGAACTCCTTCCTTTGGGAGGCCAGCCATTTGAGAAACACAGACTGCATCTACGTGCAGTTCATTTTTAAATAATTATTTAGAATTTTTTTATTTTTTTTTAGAAGCGTTAGTAGTAGACTCCTTGAAATTAATGGACATCAAATATGGACATTAAAAAACAGTACTAGTAAAACGTATCAAGCACTGAAGGACCACTGGGAAATAAATAAGGAAATCGTTCCATTGGTAATTTTTAGTGTAATTATGAGCAGGTCACTCAGTATTGGGTCAGTTCCTACTTCAAGAGGCAGGAAGGAAAGGCTAAAATCCTAAGAAGGACTTAGAAACTTGGTCGAGACTAAAACTCTCCTTGTTGGGCCGAATTGCTGTGATAAAAATGAATGTATTGCCAAGGATGTTATTTCTGTTTCAGACCCTACAGATCGTGGATAGAGTGGAATGTTTCACAAAATGGCAGAGAGATATCTCTAAGTTTGTCTGGCAGGGCAAAAAGCCCCGAATAAAATTCAAAATACTAACTGATGCTAAAGAGAGAGGGGGGTTTGCCCTGCCAGATCTGAGGTTGTATTATGAATCTGCAGCTTTCTGCTGGTTGAAGGATTGGTTTCTCCTTGAGAACACTGATGTCCTAGATCTGGAAGGGTTCAACAATGCTTTTGGATGGCATGCATATTTGTGGTACGACAAGGTAAAAATTCATAAGGCTTTTAAAAACCATATTGTCAGAAAAGCTGTGTTTAATGTTTGGGTAAAATACAAAGACTTATTAGAAAACAAGACCCCAAGGTGGCTGTCATCAATGGAAGCCAAGGCCCCGAAAAGACTCAATATGGAGGCCAATTGGCCGAAATATTGGGAGATAATAGAAAAAGAAGGTGATAATTGGAGACTGCAGAGTTTTGAGAAATTAAAGGGTAAAGTGCGAGACTGGTTACATTATGCTCAGATCAA